TTAGTGATCATGTTTTTTAAAACAGTTCTTTATGAGTTCACGATTTTTTTCACCATTGATAGTCTCTTTTTCCAATTAAAAATTTATTTGTAGAGAAGCTTTCGGTGTCCATACACTATATTCATCTCTATAATTATAATACACCAATTAGTATAAATTAAGACTGTCAAATAAAATAAAAAACATACTCAATGGTAAAAAATCCTGAACTCATAAGAACAAAAAAATAATAGTCTAAAATTACCTAATAACAATTTTTTATTTTTTCGTCGCACTTTTAATATGTGGTATATATTATATTCACTGTATTGTTCTTTCTTTTGTATCAGAAGTATAATAAAACAATGTTCAAAATATAAGGGCCTCTTTATTCCTTGAAGGCACCATATATAAATAGATGTTTACCTTTCCGTTAAATTGAATCTCAAAATCTGACTTGTTTAGGGCTAAATTTCACCCAAAATGCATCCGGCCTGGACAGCCATATTTGTTTATCGAATCGATAATGACTATTGATTAAAGGTATTAGTAGATATACGTTTGTCCATTGAATTAAAGTGTCATTAGTTCCTAAGCTGAACGGGGCCTTGCGTTTTCAAGCCCATTTTCGAGATAATGCAAGATAAAGAGTTCGTAGCCACACATCAAAATGCTACCTTCCCTACATCCTGGAAAACCACCCTAGTACGCCCATTGAAGAAGACTTCAAACCCATCAGTTCCTAATGATTTCCGACCGATTTCCCTCCTTTCAAACCTCTCAAAACCATTAGAGCGGTCAGTCCAATCCCAGCTATCCCATTTTTTAGAGGACAATAATCTCCTAAATCCCTACCAGTCCGGTTTCAGGCCTGGTTATTCTACTCAGTCTGCCCTAATCAAAATTTCCCAAGACCTTCACACAGCCATAGATCAGCAGAAACTAACCATCCTTATTCTCCTAGACTTCTCCAAAGCTTTTGATTCAGTAGACCACAACATCCTCCTAACAAAACTTAAAAATATCTCTTTTTCTTCTAGTTCTCTTAATTGGTTCCAATCCTTCCTAACCGGTCGCTCCCAGTACGTTGTAATTCCTAATAAGCCACCATCAGAATCTCTACCTCTGACCAGAGGCGTCCCACAAGGCTCTTCCTTATCCCCCACCCTTTTCTCCATCTATATAAATGACCTCCCATCCTCTATCCTGCACTGTCATTACCACTTGTATGCCGACGACATTCAAATTTACCTCTCCTTTAATCCGACAGATATCTCAGATGCCACTCAAAAACTTCAGGAAGATATTGACAGAATAAGTGCTTGGGCAAACCTCAATAGGCTCACTCTGAACGCCGAGAAGACAAAAGCCATCTTGATCGGAACCCCTTCACTCCTCAAATCCTCCACGGTATCTCCCAATCTCTTCCTGAACAACTCACCTATCTTATTCTACACCACCGTTAAAAACCTAGGTGTTACTTTCGATCAATCCCTATCCTGGAAACCTCACATCTCCCAAATTTCCCGTCGCACTATCTCCACCCTAAAACAGTTCAATCGTCTACGATATCTCCTTCCATATAAGTCCCGTCAACTCCTAGTTTCCTCCCTTGTTTTCCCCCACTTCGACTATGGCTGTATGGTGTACGGTGGACTCCCGGGAGATTCCGAGGCCAAACTTAAACGCCTAATGAATTGCGCACTACGATTTGTTTTCGGAATCTCAAGGGATACGCATATTACCTCGTATTACACTGAGTTGAGGTGGCTCTACCCATCCTATCGCCGTCAGTACTTCCTAGCCACCTTTCTGTACCAAATCATTAGAACCCATCGACCCTCCTATATTTTTCACAGCTTACAATTCAAATATTCCATCCAATCCCGTCCCACCAGATCTCGTACTTCCGACCTCTATCCTCCTCCTCACCGAACTGCTGCGTTCGACAAATCCTTTGTAATACAAGCCGCCTCCCTCTGGAATTCCATCCCAGCTGATATTCGACACGCTCAATCAGTTTCCTCGTTTAAACCTCTCCTCTTTAAGCACCTACTCCTTTCTCAGTCCGAATGATTGTGAAATATATCTAAGAGAAATATCTGAGCACCACCAGAGACTACCTCAATTTATTAAGGTTATTTTAGTTTCTCCTACATATGTACAATTTACTTGTTCTTTTCTTTCTCTTTTCTGTATTTTTATCGTAAGTCAACTTTCATTGTAAATATACAATTTAATTGTAGCCACACAGACATATAATCTGTATTCATATTTTGTTCTTAAGGGACAACAGTCCCAGAATAATAAAACATTTTTTTCATTTCATTTCATCATATTAATTGTAGTGACGTCATGGTATAAAGGTGTCACATTCCATTCCACCATACTCATTATCCATTTCATTAAATGTTTTTCTAATTTTATCCCTGGTAATCCTAATTTAAGAAGTATAGCTGATCTTTATTGGTGATGTATTAAAAATACATATCATAATTGAAGAAAAATCTAAGAAATATTCCTCTGTCATCATTATAACATTGAACAGTTGCACTTGCTTTGTCTCCCTAATCCTCTCAGCTACTTTTTTCAGGAACCATTGGCTTCATAACTTTCTTCCTCTTCTCTCTTATGCCAAAATCATGGTCGCATGGCATATATGAATGCCCTGACACTAGAAATTTTAGATTAATGTCATTACACGTATTTTTCACCACAGCATAGATTAAAACCATTTGAATCATCCAGTTCTTATTTTGTTGGGCACAGTTGTTAGACCATATATTCAAAATTTTCTTAGTAGTGACAGAGGACCACCTCATTTCCACCTTGACCAGCCATGCCTTCACATCACAAGCACATGATACTCTTGCAGGTTTCACAATGTTTGAAAGAAGAGAATGAGTATTATTGCTATTTCAGAAATCTGACTAAAACCAAATGTTCCCTCTCCCTCTATATCTATCCCTAATTACACTCTCAGCCCTCATGATCAAATGGACCAAACAGGTGGTGGGATATCATCTTTACGTTCATGAAAGTCTGAGGACAAAAATCATTCACAATCTCCCTTTCTTGACATTCCTCATTTAGAGTAATTATTTGTAGAAATTTTCTTAGATTCTTTTCCCCTTCTCTATCTCATTACATATTGCCCTTCCCAAGACTAATTTAATCCTGCCTTAGGATTCTTCCTTATTACCTATTGTTCTTAATACAACAATGTTATAATTTCAACACCAACTTGTTCTCTGATTCATCCTACCTTGTAGACCTAATCCATTTCCTTGACCTATTAATCATTCCCTTTCATCCCACTTACCATACTCAGTTCTCAAGTAAATAGCTTGACCTTTTTCTAATTGAATCCTCTCAGAATCATGTCTTCTTCCTCTCATATCATGACCTCATCAAGATTTCTGGTAACGTCCCAATTCCTAAGTAAATTAAACAACAGAACCTTGGGTCATTGACCTCTAACAAACTAAATTATTTTCTCGAATCACTGGAATGTCTTTTCACCCATCTTCTCCTATTCCTGAAAAATACGCACCTCTACCTTCAGATGTCCTACTGCTTCCTGATATTAATCCTCAAGTCGGAGAGGTGAAAATAGAAGAAATATTGCTAAAAGACGCTTCAGACATACCCGTACTCTAGATGATTACATGTCTTTTAAGACCCTCCGAAACTTTACCCCATCTTCCTTGTGATGTGCTAAGGCACAATTTTTCCATATTCCCTTATCACAAGCACCAATGAAATAAGTCCAATGGAAAATCTTAAAAAATCTCTCTGCAGTAAAGTAAAAAATCTGTACCTCCTATCTATCCTGTTTCTCCTGAATTCCTACTTGGCTGATCTTACCTCTATACCATTCTTCTCCTCATATTGCCTTCCAAAAAATTTGTTTGATTCTAAAAATTTCTATTTAACAAACATCTAACCTGCTCTCCTTTGTCCTCAAATCCAGAATGAATGGATATGGTCCGGATCTTATTCCAGTGAAATTAACCAACTATGTCTCCCTGTCGTCTTTCCTTTCTTTTCTACAGCGTATTTACAATTTCTTTTTACAAAATTCTAGTTTCCTGTCAGCTTGGGAAAAAGTTATAGTCTGCCTGATCAGCAAACCCCATCTCCATTCTCTCCAACCTTCCAAAACCTCTTGAAAGACTAGTCCATTCTCAGCTAAATACCTTCCTTGAGCAAAATGCTGTAAACAATCACCACCAGTATGGTTTCTGATTCTAGTTCTCCAATCTGCTTTGTTGAAAATTACTCAAGACTTTCAATTCTTCACAGAGAAAGAGAAAATCTCTATTCTGATATTTTGAAAGCCTTCGATTCAGTTAATCACAAAATCCTTCTTCTTAAACTCCAAAACCTTTCCATACCAAATTGTGCTCTAAAGTGGTCTCATTCCTTCTTGTATCACAGATAAAAAACAGTTATCATTCCCAATAAAACTCTTTCCTCCCCACTCTTACTAACTCCTCCTCAAGGATCTTCTCTCTCTCTCCAATTATTTTCTTCATTTACATCACCGACCTTCCTGATTCCATCCATCATTCACAATGGCACTTATGTGCTGACGATCTCCAAATCTACCTTTCCATTCATCCTACTGAGATTCTTGAGGTGAGCTGAAGGCTATATAGATAGTATTAACGCTTGAGCAGCAAGTAATGATTTAACCCTTTGACTGCGGAGGGGACACATGCCAGAATCTTAACTTATATACTATTATATTATATTACATACATAGTATCTACCTAGTCTATACGTGAACACACTCATATATTTATCTATAACTCATATGTTAACTTATGCCTTTCTTTCATTTTAATTTTAAGGTTCGATAACTATGTAATTTAATTAATTCTTGATTATCTTCTTGAGCCAAACAAATGTCACAGAATAAAACTTTCTTTCTTTCATATTCAATTAAATTTCCATAAGTTTACCAATTTCTTTACACAAATGCTTAAGAGTTCTAAGTTTAATAGATAGATTGTTTTCAAAATCATTTAATGTAATTTATATCCTGGGAAAAGTACATTACAGCAATGGAAGATACATGTAGTCTATCTAGGACAATATTGCCAAAATTATAAAAAAATAAATACAAAATTAAATGCAAAAATGTATTTAAATAAATATGGCCATCTTAACAATCATACCTTAACATTCAATATATTTATAGCAATTACCTTACTTTTATGTTCATTATTGACTGAAACAACTAAAAAATCACATATTTGAATATTTTTATTTATATTGTACTCTGAGGAGCAGAAATAAAATAGAGTGAATTGGAGACAGTGTCAGCCATGTCCAAAGTTTGTCCAGACTGGTTTGTTATTGCTCCAGCATCTCTCTTAATACCACCAAACAATATAAGTTCTCCATTACCCTTTACAAGAGTGTACAGAATAGTTGATTCTGGGCTACCATAAGCTACTGATTTTATAGGCAACCATGTTACTTTATGGTCTGGGGAAAGGATTTTCGAAATATCCAAGACGAACATGGCCATCTTGGGAGCAACAGGTCTAAATATTTTTTTGGCTTGTTCTGGGCGTATTGTTTTCAATTTCATTTCCATTCTCTTTAGAGCATCTAACTGTTTTTCTCGATGTCGGCTAATTTGAGGCTTTTCAGCTCGAAAAGCACTCATATGATTTAAATAATTAAGAGAATTATAAGAATGTCGCAAACTTTCACTTCTGATATTCGCTGGATCACCAATGTACCTGGCAACCAGATTTCCTCTTCTTCCATTAACATTAACATCTCTATCAACTGATGGGCCAGCTCCATCATCAGGTCGGATTAAATAATGGCTGCAAAATAATAGAAATGTTATAAATGGTGTTAATTCTTTTTATTTAACTATAAAGTTAATTTAAAACATATTTAAATTTTTTGGATATAAAGCATTGAAATTGACAAGCCTTTATAAATTTGTTTCTCTAATTGCACTCAACTATAAAAGCATATACAGAACTGATTACAAATTGATCTAAAAAGGAGCAAACAAACTAAACAATATTTGATATGCCTTCACATACTACATGATATTAAGTTCCCACATAATGGCTAGGTACACAATTTTCAAAATTTAATACTTCATAGGAAATAACTGTATTTCTAAAAATTTTTATACAATTTTGATTTTTTTTTTTTTAAGTACCTATATCAAAGATTGTTTTTTTTTTCTATTAAAAATTGTTGAAAGACCCAAAATTTAAAACCATATCTAACACATCAATACATATTTTGCAGATGTCTTCCTTTCTGCTAAATGCAGTCCAATTAATATTTAATTATTTACACCTATTCCTGGGGCTAACTTGACTAAAATCAAGTTATTAAAGATTTCACAAAGATCTCATTACTGCGTATGGGAGCACACCACAGGGGGTGGATGTGGAGGTGGTCGGTGGAAATTTCTAGGAAGTTCTTCCCAGCTAAGTCCGATGGACTCGCTGACCAACAACGAGAGCTGCCCTCTAGGCTTTTTGGAGGGTGTAATGTAGGATTGAACACCATATTCACATATCTTTAGTTCACCATACACCACACCACAAATAGTCATTATCTGGAAGTAAATTAGTCCCCCTTTCGGGTATCCAGGTGAGGACTGCTTTATGATATTCATGGTGCAATTTGAAAAATATGGACTCAAGTATTGGTGCGTGGAACGTATGAAGTTTAAATTCAGGTTTTCCCGGGCCATGGAGTGTGGGCGGGGATTTAAAAACTCCTCCGGGTACTGGGACGCGAACTCGTGACTATTTTTTTTTTTTATCAAAGTCTTATGTATCAGGTTGCCGGGCAACGGCGGTGCAGTGCACACGCGTTAGCCCATTCGGCCACACCGTCCAGGATATTGACAGCTACTATAATGATTTTTATTTGTCAAGTATTCACATTAAAAAAATACATTGGGGTAAAAAATGTTGTGGAAGGGAGGATGCAACCCCCACCAGCCCACTCATCTTAGCCCAGTCTTCTTCTGACCATTGGCCAGGATGGATCTTCTGTTGGTTCCAGAACGTTCAAGAGGGAACATGTTCACAGTCGTCAAGGGAGCATAGATCAAATGAAGACCATCTTCAAGTGAAGTAACATTAGTAGATCAAAAATAAGAAGCATTATATATGAGATCGGAGCTACCAGAAAGAAAGTACCAAAAAGCAGTGATAGTAATTATTTAATTTAAGCAGTAATAGTAATAATTTAATTTAAGCAGTAATAGTAATAATTTAATTTAAGCAGTAATAGTAATAATTTAATTTGTGCAGTAATAGTAATAATTTAATTTAAGCAGTAATAATAATAATTTAATTAAGGACGTTGGTACAAAATCACGTTAATAAACATGCATTGCCCGACCGAAGATAGTGGTGATGGAGTGAAATATGAATTTTATGATAAACTCGAGTGGGTTTATGATAAACTTTTTTTTTTTATTTATTTATTTGAACCGTACCATTGAGGCAATACGGGTTTTGCAGATCTGGGTTGTTACACGTCACTGCATAACTGCCCATTTCTGCAACGAGACCAATGTTAATATTTAGATTAACTGTTTATTGCCTTATGCCGCTCATTCTTGTTCCGGCGGCCTCCCTGGCACGGGTCCCCTTCTTGTGAGGTTAAAGTGTGTGGGCCCAATTGCTTCTTTCCACCCGTACACAAATTCTTTGTAGTATAGGTAGTTTTCTTCTGTAGCTAGCTGAGGGAAATCGATCTGTGTGAGAACATAGAGACCGGTCTCCCTTACCAATTTGGCTCTTAGCGACTCAAAGGCGACACAGTTTATGATAATGTGCTCAGTAGTCTCCGAGATCCCACAGCTAGGGCATAGGGGATTGACATCTTTTCCAAATCCATGGAGCTTGTCTCGAAAGCCCCCATGCCCGGTAAGGAATTGCGAGAGCCAGTAATCCGGGAGGACCCATTTGGCTTCCAAACGTGACTGAACGGTGGGGAAGTACTTCCTCAGAGTGGCCCCCCTTTCGGGCTTGTCACCCACCGTTGATTCCACACTTTAATTGTATCCTCCCGGATAATAGATTTCTATTTTCTGGGGTATTTGTCGATTCTCTCTTCAAGGTTTCCTGGTAGGCCTGCTGAACCTTCTTTCTTATATATGTACCTGAACATATCTTCTCGCAGGAGGAGTTCGAGAGGCACTCCTCCCACTAGTAACTGCAGCGCCTCATGAAAAACAGTCTTGTACGCTATGGTGACTCGAAGCAGAGCCGTTCGCTACGACGGCTATCTAGATTGTCGCCAACTTGCTCTTCAGTCAGTGCAAGAGATTCTGATTCCATGCAGGGGACGCATACCTCAGTATACCTACAATCATACCTTTATAAATGGTCATTGTTGCTGGGTATCTGAGGCCCCAGAAAGCGCCCCTACTCGACTCAGGCCGTTCAAACATTGGGCCACTCTATTCCGCAGTTAGTCCAAGTGAGGGGTAACATTGAAACCTCTTCCGAATCTGACTCCAAGATGGATGACCTCCTCACTTGGACGTATTCTTGTTTCGTGAATCATTATACTGATTGGGTGTGCCCTATTAGTTTTTCCTTTCAATAGAATGGCCTGTGTCTTTGAAGCAGCCATAGTCAACTTCTTCCTCTCGCACCTTTCTCCAACCAAGTTGGCACACCGTTCTGCTTATAGTTTTAAGCCGGCTTGTAGTTTAAACATAAATATACTTGGACATCACCACATCCTAAATCATGAAATCAAATCAAACATGTCTTTATACAACATAGATGGTAAAATATTAAATGAAATGAAAATAGATTTTTATTATCCTGGGACTTTTGTCCCTTTAGGACAAATTATAGGTACAGAGAAAATGCCTGTGTGGCCATAAAATTAAATTAAATATTTACAATGCTCATATTGTCCATGTCGGATATCGGGAGGGATGGTATTCCAGGTGGAGACGGCTTGAATTATATAGGATTTGTCAAACGCAGTAGTTCGGTGAGGAGGTGGAAAGAGGTCAGAAGTACGGGATCTAGTGGGACGGGATTGAATGGAATATTTAAATTGTAGGCTGTGAAAAATATAGGAAGGTCGCTGAGTTCTGATGGCTTGATATAGAAAGGTAGCAAGGAAGTATAGACGGCGGTTGGATGGATAGAGCCACTTCAACTTGGAGTAATACTGGGTTATATGCGTATCTCTTGAAAACAAAACGTATTGCGCAGTTTATCAGGTGTTTAAGTTTGGCCTCGAATTCTCCCGAGAGTCCGCCATACACCAGACAGCCATAGTCGAAGTGGGGGAACACAAGGGAGGAAACCAGGAGTTGTCAAGATTTATAAGGAAGGAGATAGCGGAGACGGTTAAACTGCTTCAGAGTAGAGATAGTACGACGGGAAATTTGGGAGATGTGTGGTTTCCAGGAGAGAGTTTGATCAAAGGTGACACCAAGGTTTTTTACGGAAGTATGGAATGAGATAAGTGAGTTGTTCAGGAAAAGATTGGGGAGTGTCGGTAAGGATTTGAGGAGTGAGGGAGTTCCGATTAGGATAGCTTTCGTTTTCTCGGAGTTTAGAGTGATTCTATTGTGGTTTGTTCAGGCACAAATTCCGTCTATATCTTTCAGTAATTTTTGGATGGTGTCAGAGGATTCTGTAAATCTGTAATAGTATAATATAATTAATATACGACCTTATTGCGGAGCAGAATGTGGGTCGGATCATAAATTAGGAATTGTGAAACTTTGACAAAAACTTCTAAGAAAAACCAAAAAACAAAAAAGAAAACAGTTTTGTTTCCAAAAAATTTAATCTGGCAAAATTAAAAATTCATCAATTTGAGCTAAAAGTTAGGAATAAATTTGAAGCTTTAGAATCATCTTACGAGGATTGCGATGATATAGACAAGTTATGGGCAGGCAGCAGCGATAATATTTAAGAGATCAGTAATTTGTGTCTTCGGAAAAATGAAAATAAAAAGAACAAAAGTGTGGTTCGATGAAGATTGTTTAAACATGTGCAAAAAAAGAAAAAAAACGTTAAATTAAAATTGTTCAAACATAAAATAACAGAGCACCTTAAAAATAAAATTATATTCCATCACTTCCGCCATCTTCTACTCCAAAATACGCGTAGACTCCTAGTTTCCTCTCTCATCTTTCCCCACTTTGACTACAGCTGTGTGGTGTACGATGGACTCTCAGTGGAACTCCGTGATAGACTAAAAAGACTTAGGATGAGCTTTGTAAGATTTGTAATCGAGACCCTGAGACGCTCCCGTGTCTCCCACCACTACACTGAGGAGGGTGGCTCTCCCCCCCCCCTATTGACCATTGTCCTTCTTATGCCTACAACCTTCTCCAATTTAAGTCCTCGATCCATTCCCTCACTACAAGATCTCGACCTTCTGACCTACACATCCCTTCTCATAGATTTGCCTAATTCCAAAACTCCTTTATAGCCCCCTCTGTCAACTTTTGGAGTTCCCAGCCGATCAAAATTCGGCATGCCCCCTCCTTATCCACATCCAAAACCTCCTATTCCAATTCCTGTTCCAAATGTACTAAAGATTATAACTGAATGATAACTTACTCTCTGGGTTCATTGGCATTTATTCTTCTACTCTGATTAATTCCTATTTGAGAATTAGAAGTCCAGCGGGAATAAGCTAAAGGAGGTGGCGTAGAAACTGGATTTCTACTAAAGACAACTACATAATCTTCTACCTGAAAAGAAGTCAAAATGAAAATCATTTCCAAAAACTAGTGAAGTGAAACAAATGAAGTAAAAAACAAATACAATATTCATTCTCATAATGCATGTAAAAATTAATCATAATTTAAATATTCTTATTCAGCTGTACATAGACTTACAAATTTTATTGGTGAATTTTAATTATCGGCTATTTATCAGACAAATATACAAATAACAAAGAAAAAATGTTAACATTATTGTAGTATCTCGCCTTCTGGCATGAAAAATGGGATAAAGAACAATTTTTTTTTAGCTGAAAAAAGGAGGGATCTGTAACAGATTGCTCTCCTATTTGAAAGAAGATTATAGATCGTTCTCAAGAGTTGGTCAATTAAAGCTAATTTGTATTTTATTAATGTTATATGAAAAATAACTAAAAGCCTTAGATTTTTTTAATAGTAACATAGCTCGGTCCATGTTTTTCTATATAACTTTTTTTTTATTCCAAAGAGGAATGAATTTTTAAGAAACTATGCAATAATAATACAAATTTTATCCTAGATTATAAATGAAAAAATTGGTTTTGCTTTTTTTATCACTTTTTTTCTGGTAAAAAAAAAAATGGATAACTTAAACTTAAATTTTCGGCACTTAGCCCATGGTTGATTTCTGATCTCCCATTGATTCTGTATAACTTTATCTTGAAGTCCTATTATTTTCTGTTTTAGTGATTTTTTTTTGTTCCTTTCTATGCTGTTTTTTTTTTAAATTTATAATTAAATTAATATAAATAAATAATTTATATTTTTTAGGACCTTCAATCAAGAAACCATATAATTTACATATATATGGTTATATATATATTGTAAAAAAAAAACTCCTTTGTTACAATAAATATTTGCAGTTTTACAGGTTGTTTGCAATATATTTCTTGTTGTCCTATAAAATATAGAATAAATATTTGATCTTCAAAGATCGAAAAAAACAAACAAAAAACATGGCTACCTTACAAGCTGGATGGCACCATAAATGAGAAGCTGCCCATTGCTGATTTTCTACTGTAATTGGAGTCCAGGTCCAATGCCTTCCATTCATTGTGAGTAGCCAAATATCATTCATAACTACATTTGGAGGTCCCCCCCAACCACCTTTAAATAATTAAATTACCAATAAGAATAGGACCTTAATAACACTGAAATCTGTTTTTATAAAATAATTATGTAAAGAAATATTTTAGAAATAATAATCTAAGACATAATAATAATAATGAGCAAAGTGATTAAAATGTAGTTACTATATAGCAAGCTCTATAGTTTAATATTAGCCTTAACTCAAAATGGTGTGATTAAAGAAAAGCTAACATTCCATAGTTAAAGCTAATCCAAGTGGTGAACTATCCAGAAAAATATAGATACAAATGAGGGTAGATAAAACTTCAGTGGAACAATAACGTCCTTTTTTATTGACTGTTTGAAAAAGACTAACATTTGACTTTGCTTTTCCTCACCATAAATTTTTGTTTCTCTCCTAGCTCAATCCTCAACAAATGAACCTTTTGGGAATAGTTAGCATTAACTATCTTTTAATCACTTCACTGAATGTCTTAAATTTTAAACATGGTTGTTACCAAGAATAAGTAAATGAAAATCGTCCAATGGTATTTGTGAATGTCCATATCGAGGATGTGGTTTATCACCGACAGTTTCCTTTTTAGCCCAAGTGTAGGTTAACAGATTAAGACACCATATATCATTGGATCTAGAAAAAAAACCCACATTAAATAATAAAGAAAAAGTCCATACTAGTTTTTAGAACTAAAAGAAAATAAAAAAAACAGGAGGAATCTAAAAAAAAAAAAGAAATATCAGCCAAGTAAGGCCAGTATAGCTTCCACACCGTTTTCATAGGCTAAAAAATATCTATATTACAAGGTCTAATATTTTTTGTATGAGGAATTTCTAGGAGAAGCTGTTTTCAGTAATCTCAATATATACGGGTTTGATAGTTTTGTTCATTGAATACTAAAATGAGAAAGAGTTCTGAATTTACTGATTGCATATTTGATGATTCGTGATAAAGAAAAAATTCCAGTGCATACTGAACATTAATATCACTAATGTTAGTGCAAAAGCCCGCATGTAAAAATTGAAGATTTTACAGGAGAGCATAAAAACTAATTGTTTCTTTATGATTTATTAGTATAATTTCATATTTTATTGCTCTCTGCTATTTTTCATCGTAGCAGACTGCTTATACTAGTTGCAGACTACAAAATATCACCTTGAGCACAAATAGAATAAAAGTTGAAAATATTAACATACGACCTTCTGCACTAACAGTAGTGATATATATTTAATGGATAAATTCAATTTTTTGTTTGTTTGGAGTTGACTTCACACAGATTTTAATATTACAGTTAAATTTGATATTTAAGGAGGAAATCGAGACCACTACAAGCTAGTTGAACTTCAATAGAAATAAACATGATTACCTTTAACTTTTTTTTATACAAATTTAGAGTAAAAATTAGTTTAAATTTACTGAAAACTACACAAAATCGAAGTAACGCCAGTAAGTGTCATGCCAGTAACATTTGGAATCGACCAAACAATACATTATAAATTAACTTTTTGAATGAAACCTAAAATTTTAGAACTCCATAAAAATATTGTGCTAACCTAACTCCCACTTCAGATGATCAATGCCTTCCACATTTCACCAGTCATTATACTGTTAACAATTATTAATATTAATTTTAATTATTAAATGGAATTCAATGAAACTGATACCAGGTAATTTCTATACTATTCTCCAAATTTCCTTTAAGTTTGGGTCAAATCGAAGCGCATTTTTCAAACTATAGGAATATCAAATAATAAATTTCCTTATCTGAAAGTGGAAGTATTTTTTTTTTTTTGAGTAGCGGATGGAACTTGGTAAATTCATACATACTTTATTATCTATTTACCAATCCCTAACTTCCCTACAAATTTGAGCCAAATCGAACGGGCGGATTTAGTGATATAGACCTATCAAGAAAAACACATTTGCGCATAAGAGAATTTAGTGGACTTAATTCAATAAAGTTGACACTTCATTATTTTTTCACCAAGACCTACCTTTTATCCTACTTTGAGCCAAATAGAACGAGCTGTTTCTGAAATTTGGTATATCTAAAACAATACGTTTGCTCATACGTAAGTGGAAGTGCTGGATGGAATTTGATATAATAAATATATGGGACCAGCTAGGCACCAACCCGCACAATCCCTGAAAATTTCATAAAAATCGGATGAACGGTACTACTAGTTGATATATCTGTCACATCGATTTGACTACTGACAGACACCAAACCAAAATTGATCCTTCATGTGTGAAACATAAAACACGAGTGGAAATGTTTGATTCTGAGCACATCATTTTTTTTTAACCTCTCGCACGAATACAATGCTTCTCCACCTTCGGTAGTGAGGAAGCAAAAATAGTCTTGAAATATAGATAATACTTCTAAACATTACTTCCAGTTACTTATAACCCTCCAAAACAACTCATATATTTCTCAAAAACATCCTCATAGGAAATTAAGAACAGCTGTAATGTATATAAAAAAGGTTGCCTTGCCAAGAAAGAAGCCTAGGTCTAGTGGTGTTCACTTAACACCAAGGATATCATCCATGTTGTTTAGCTCTCTGATTTATTAGAGAACATGTTAAGTTGAGGAATGACATTTGTTAATGATTACAACTTGTGGAATCCATGGCTTGGAGCTCAGGAAAAATGGAAGCAAAAAGGAGTTAGATTATCCCAGTTCAACCTGCTATAATGTTTTTATTTATGATAATAATGAAATCTAGCAAGGTCATTCAGTCATGTAATTTTTGAAACTTATTTGAGAAATTACCCTCCATTATGACCGTGCAGACCTCCAAAAACAACCATGCTGTCACCATGTACAGTTGCAGCATGACCAGCCATTGATGGTGGAGCTGTTGTAGGAGACGTTATGCAGTTCCAACGGTTTGCACTTATGTCATACAAATGTAATTCATTAAATGTTCTCCATGCCTGTAAACACAGAATTATACCAAAATTGTAAATAATAACCTTACAATAAAGATCAATAAATACAAACATAAACAAATTGTCAAAACCTTTTTAACAACACTAATAATTTAAAGAAGTATTAAAAAATTAGTTAAAAATAAAGTTATCAGATATTACAAATCTGTAGTGGAACTAAGTCTCCTCGACAGATTGTTATTTATTACCATAATCTTCCCAAAATAATAGTCCTAACGACTAATGACTTGAAATATGCATAGCATATCTGGAAAGGATTTAAAATTCAATAAAAAAAGGCACATATAGCATATTTTGTTTTTATTATGACACATTTTTACAATTTAACACAAATTTTTTTCAAGCAATCAACAGCCAAAATGAGACCCAGCATTTAATTGTATCAGTTTTTAACTCAATCATATCACATTTTTCTTATCTTTTCTCCGACCCTTCGTCATCTTATAGGCTATTCAGGGAATTTCCTGGTATAGGGGAGAGGGGCGGGAGAAACTATGCCAGAGTTAAAATTCCTCCTCGCACTGGGATTTGAACTTGAAAATCTTCAGCTATGCCAGGTTGCCAGGCAAGGCATATTTAACACATGTGTTAGCCCGCTCTGCCACTCCACCACCAAAAACTAATATCAAGATGTTCAAGGACATAGTACAGTAAAATTAGGAATTGAACGAAAAATTAAAAAAAAAAAAAAAAAAAAGCTGAAACTTGTTCATCACCCTTCCCATAATAACGGGCAAACATTTTGAAGTTCCTGATTTGTATTTTGAAGTGGGGAGAGGGAGGACAAAAAACTTATTTTATTTTAGTTTTTTGTAGATGACTAAAAATTTCAATAAAAATATTTTTTTACTGCACATTCTGAACTTTTTAAACCTTACAATTTCAACAATGATCTATATATCCATCTCTAAATTATATAAAAATGATTCTATGGATTGTTTTGCTAACTTTAATAGTTACAGAGAATTTCTAATCTCCACAAAAATTGCTACAAAAACAATGAAATAGCTGTTGTTCGTCGTAGATGATGCCATTTTGAGCTTTCTTTGTTTAAAATGTTTGATAGCTTAAAAAAAAAGTATGATATAAAGTTTTTCAGTTTTGATGAATCTATAAAAAATTATAATAATAAATAGCTGAAACACAACAAAATAATATTCGATATCAGCTAATTAATAATTTGGTGATATTGATTTCACATAATTCATATATTAAATATATAAATAAATGTTAGAATTGGTCTGCTGAAGAAATATCAATAACAAATTAAATTTTTTATACTTATTTTTTTCTCTATAATTTTTTATTATTAAAAATCAAAGCAGCAATCATTTACAGCTTAAATTCTAACAATTTTTCTAATTGATATTTTAGATAAATGAAAGATTATACAATATTTCTTATTATTATTTCTAAGTGCCAGTACACTGGCAGATTTAAGTGAGGAAACCTTGCTGAATTCTAAGGCAGGGCCAAATCAGACTTGGGGAGGGCCACGGGCGGATCTACGGGGGGGGAGGGGCTTTCGGGCTGAAGCCTCCCCCAAAATGAAAAAATATAACCATGTTTTATCGAACAAAATATTAAAAAAGTATCTCTTAAAGTGTTATTGTTCGTGTGATTAATATTAAAAGGGCTTTAGGAATCACTTAAACACCATTTCATACAGGTAGTTAGTTTCTTTCTTTTTTTCCAAAGTAATTATCGTTATTTTTATGAAAAAAAAAAAGCTTTCGGGCTGAAGCCCCCCCCCCAAATTTAAATCCTGGATCCGCTAGTGGGGAGGGCGATATGTAATGACATAGAAGAGGGAAAAAGATTCTGAGGAAATATCTACAAATAAATACTCTACATGAGGAAACTCAAGATAGGAAGATTTGTGAAGGATTTTTCGTTTGATCATGACGAATGATGACATATTCATGGATACAGAGGAAGAAGGAACATTTGGTTTGAACCAGGTTTCTGAGAATTCAATAATAGGGTAAAATTATGGAGGAAACTACCAATGAATTCATTAAAGTGGGCTGGTAGGGATTGGGAATTAAAGTGGAACATTAATAGGATACTAGTTATGGAAGAATAAAGAAGGAAGTACAGCACTGAAAGTTTGGAAAGGAAAAGAACAATCGTAGTAAGTAATGTGAGTTAAAATTTTCTAAGATAAAGAAAAGATGGTAGAGCAGCAAAAAACGAAACAAACAATTATGTGTTTTGATAAAATTTGCATCTGGGAAAAATAAGAGATTTTTTAAACTAGATGAAAAAGTAATTAATAATAGATTGAAAATAAGACTGAATGTAAAAATATATACCGAAAGAAGTAAGAAAACAATGTAAAGAAAGAAAACTTCGAGTATTCAGTTAAAAAAACAGAATAATATTCCTTGAAGAGAAAATTAAATATTGAGAAAAATACAGTTAAAAAAATCTGGTGTACGAAACACATAACTTTCCCTTATTGCTATACTTTGAATAGAAATGATTTTCTGGCAATCTTGGGCTGTTATAAATGATTTGAAGTGCATTTTTAACACAGATACAGCTAAATGATTACAGCTTATTAACGATGTAGAGATGGTTGACTGTGATATAATATGAGGAGTTGATCGGGAGGGGGAGGAGGGGGGTGCGGTCAAATAAATACTTAATTATAGAAATATTATTATTTAATTAATATGCCGACGTTTCGACCCACTTTGCAGGTCTTCATCAGGGCATAGGATCTGGCACCATGAGAGGCAGTTGAAACACTGTCAGTGACCACCTGCAACCTGGGTCGAAACGTCGGTATATTAATTAAATAATAGTATTTCTATAATTTAGTATTTATTTGACCGCAATTTCCTTGAAAACATGTGATTTACATTAAATAATGTTAGTTTTTACAAATTATTATTTATAATTGTGGGTTGATGGTTGACGGTCATGAATAATGAAGAGAAGGATGGTTGGGGTGATCAGTCAGAAATAAATAATAATATTTATTTTAACATTTGCTGACATTTCGACCTGAAGTTCAGGTCTTCGAGCAGCCCTGATGAAGGCCTGAACTTCAGGTCGAAATGTCAGCAAATATTAAAATAAATATTATTATTTATTTTTGCCTTTTTATTTCTGACTGATCAGCCCAACCATACCTCTCTTCATTATTATTTATAATTTTTTGCCACTCTCCATCACTCACCTCCTACGACCTTCTATATTAGATATTGTTTATTCTAAAATTCTCTGCTTTCCAACGATTTATTATACCATATTATCCAGAGATTTATTTTTAATCTGGATAAGCATTTTTCTTTTTTTCTCCTTTATTCCATCAAATTCTTTCAAAAGTTATATTTAGTTTTTTTTTCATAACTAATAACATGAAGAGATAGTTAATTATTTAAAATAAACCAAATTAAAGGTACTTTAGAGGAAGACATTTTTGAAATTTCACTTTTGTATGACGTTTCATTTTGGAGCTAGATTGATAACATACACATACACAGACCATTTTGCAGGGCTTGCTTCTTTGGACTCAGAGGACCTCAAAACGTGTATTTCCGTAACAAACACAGATTCCAAAATTTTCACGATCGTAAAACTTTTCCTTACTATATATTAGGTACATATATAGGTAAGTGAAAGTAAAAAAAAAAATAGATAAATAGATCTGACGATCAATATATCCAAAAAAACGCTAAAAGTTTTTACCAGGATTTGAAAACAATAATTATTTTTTTCACAAAATCATGTAATAATTATTATATTTGATTTTTAATTTAATAATCATGCCTGATTTATAGATAAAAATTTAAATAGATCTTTGATGTTTATTGATTCAATTAAAAGTAATGACCACTCACTGAGTGATACGGTTTTACATAAATAATGACAAAACATTAAAAATCACCTTTTATCTTATTATATAAAAATCACACAAATTAAATAAAATATTAATATGTATGTATACATTATTAATGTCCACATTTTTTAATATACTATTTTTTAAATAATTTTAACTGTGCACGCGGTACCTGCACAATATATATGTTTGGATTTCTTTTCGTTTTTGGAAACCAAAATTTCTAACGAATTTTGGAGATAAAGATGTTCTGTTGCTAATAGTTTAAAACAATATTCTCCATCACTTTTGATTAGTAACTGATTTCCACCTGTCCAAATAAAAATGCGAGGAAAGCAATAAATTGCAAGCTCACACACTTGTAATAAATGAAAATGTTTTAATACGGTAGGCACCATGTTAAAGTAACGGATGAGCAATGTTCAACAGTCTTGAGAGATGTACGACCTGCAGCTCTTTAGTTTGCCCCGCTCTGTCAGATGTCCGCAGTACTTCTGATGGGATCGGCCCAAATTTAAACAAAGGATTCATGGCGGAGTTGTACTGGGCTGCCAGGAGACGAATGGCCTAATAGCCAATGGCAGAGGTGTTTAATAAAAAAAAAAAAAAAAAGTTTGTTACTTTAACATGGTGGCGACAATATAACAGTTAATAAACATACAGTGCCGGCCTTAGGGCAGGGAAAGTGGGCAATCGTCATGGAGAGTCGCCGGCCGATTTTTAGGGGCACTTGCCACTTGTTGGAAATAATAAATAAATAAAAAACTTATTAAAATAATTAGAGAAGGAGTTAGTCGAGGGTGCGGTCAAATAAATAAAAAAATTAAAATATATAAATTTTTGCCGACGTTTCGACCCACTTTGCAGGTCGTCTTCAGGGCGTAGGATGTGGCACTGCGGGAGGCAGTTGAAACACTGTTGAGTGTTTCAACTGCCTCCCGCAGTGCCACATCCTACGCCCTGAAGACGACCTGCAAAGTGGGTCGAAACGTCGGCAAAAATTAAAATAATTTATAAAGGAAGGAGATGGTCCGGGGTTGCGGTCATAAAAAGGCTAAATAGTGGTAAAACTATTTTACTGAAAGCCAACGTTTCGACCCGACTTTGCTATTGCAATACCTTGCTCTACTCCTAATTGCAATAGCTCCTATATTGGTGAAACCAAAAACTATCTCAAAACCCGCATTTCCCAACATAAAACGTCCATAACTTCCCGGAATCCCTCCGCCTCCAAACTATCAGAACATGCTTTAACACTCAACCACTCATTTGATTTTGAAAAAACCTCTATCCTTTCCACGGTCCCTAACCATGAAAAAAGACTCATTTCCGAATCTATCCACATTCACATGGAACACAATCCCGTTAATCACAAAGTAGACAAAAACTGTATTTCTCTTACATTTAGACACATTTTAAGTCTTATAAGGGAAAAATAACATAAATATTCTATTTTATTATTTTCATCTACTCTCAATTTTTATTAATTAATTCATTTAATTGGTCATTATTCTAAATATTCCTTCTTTGTATGATCTCTCTTCTATTTTTCTAAATTTACATTTACACTCTACACCAATGTATGACCACCCTATATTTTGTATTTATTTATTTATTTTTTTCTTTTCCCTCTCTATACTTTTAAGTTAGCTCTGCAATGTATGTATGTTAATAAAGTTATTTCTATATTTACATTTTACTCTTTACCAATTTTGGGTGTATTCACTTTTTACTCTGATCTAGAATCATGTAATACCTCTCACATCTCTCAACTCTATTTTACTTGTATATTTATATATTTATAATTTTAATATTTATAGATATAGTATTTTTTCCATTATATCCATCCATATCTTCAAAAATTCCTAGGTACTATACATTCCTGGGTTGTTCAATCTTTACTTAGTTAACACATGTTAACTCCCTCTATACCTGCAATCCTTTACTTAGTTAACACATGTTAACCCCCCCCTGTACCTGCAATCCTTACCGCTGCCTTTCCAGTTCTAAGTGAAACTCCTAGAGGAACACACCTGTAAGTCTCTAATCTTATTTTATTTTATTTTATTTATTTATTTTATTTTTATTTTTTTTTCTCCTGTATTTTTTGTAGAATTATACTCACATTTTCATTTGTTATATATTACACTACAACAATTGTTAGCATCTATTTACTTTATTTTAGGATCTTGTTACTTAGCTTACTTAGTCCATATTGTATTGTACTTACTGTTTATAATTCTAATAAGCTTATTCACATTGTTTATAAATTATGTCTAAATATTATGTAATTTCCACAATTCTCTATCTTTTGTATCTTGTCCGTTCTAGCCCTGATGAAGACCTGCAAAGTCGGGTCGAAACGTTGGCTTTCAATAAAATAGTTTTACCACTATTTAGCCTTTTTATGACCGCAACCCCGGACCATCTCCTTCCTTTATAATGCAACGGTCAACCATTAAATATTAAATTAAAATAATTTATATATTTTAATTTTTTTTATTTATTTGACCACACCCTCGACTAACTCCTTCTCATATTATATCAATGGTCAACCATCTCTACATCATTAAAATAATTAATTTTAGCCTATCAATAAAGCAACTGTATTATAGAAATATTGAATGAAATAAAATTCAAATATAACATAATATAAAACAGCTTGAGAAATAAATTTAATATTTTTAGAGAGGGAGATTACATCATTGCCCGGGGGTGCCGAATGTCTAAGGATCTCTAAAAAAATATTTGCATAACAGTTTCAACCCTCATTCGTTTCATTCAGATTTCATTCCAACAAGGCTTATAAGAAGATTAAAACATAAAATGTCTGAATTTTACTCTTCTCCATTACTTAAATATCATTCATAAGTTCAGTAGTCGATGGTATATGGTACACTCTTAAATTAAAATATAAAAAAGAACTAAAAACTCATTTAGCAAGATAAATTCCTAAATATATAGTCCTCATACACATGAAACAATGTTTACTCAATATTTAATATCTACTAATCCAATTTATATATTCTCATATATTTTTATTAATAAATCATCCAATTTAAAAATCTTTATATATTATTCTCAAATGTATTTTTTTTTCTTCCAGTACGCCATATCCTCCTTTAGTACTATTTTATATTTATTAGATATTAATACTATTTCCATACTTTCTTACCATTTATTCTCTTTGACCAATATCCTATGCATATTATTCGCCTAGGACAACTAATTACGGAAAATAAGAATTACATAAACTTCACACCTACTAAGTTCAAATTAAAATTACCTGATGAAGAGGATAAGGTGATGGATGTGTCCAGCCACCAAATAAAATAAGTGTATGGTTGTAATACACAAGAGAAGCACAAGCTTTTGGTGAAGGATAACTTCCCATTGTCAATAATCGCTGCCATTGCCGGGTCGATAAATCCAATTTCCAGAGGTCATTAAATGTAGTACTAGTGCAAGTACATCCTCCAAAGACATACATAGCATTTTCTACATTAAAATAACAAATTATCAATAAATTCTGTAGAACAATAAAAAAAAAAAATTACACCAGCAACTAGTATAATATCTAATATTCATAGTTAAGCCCGTTTGGCTACCCACCCACTAAAATTATTCTTTGAATTAGGATTCCAACTCAGGTCTCCAGCATGAGAGTTGGACAATTTACCATTCAGCAATATCATCTGTTGAAATTCCCACCGGGTACCAGGATTTGAACAAGTAATATTTTTCCGTCTAATTTGGTTATCAGATTTCCAGGAAACAAACGCTGCTGAGCATATGCATTAGCTCACTCGGCCACCCCACCGCCCAAAAGGAATATGGTGGAACCAGTCTTGAACCGGGAACCTTCACCATCTAAGATAAGCACGCTAATCACTAAATTATGGGTGCACCATCACTGAATGTTTATTTCTCAAAATATATTGTCTTATCCATAATTTCCATTATTTAGTATCATAGGAATTTTCAGATATTTTTCATCTGCTATAATCCCCACCATGTTCATTCCTGTCCCAAAAATATATATCCAAATAAATCCAAGTTTTTTTAGATTCAGGATTTTTTACCATTGACAGTCTCAATTTTATTTTAAAACTTTATTTGTTAAAATGTTATCCTGAACTTATAAGAACACAAAAGCAGTCTAAAATTACCTAATCACAATTGTTTTTTGACTGACAGAAATCTCAGCCCCTATATTTGATAATTACTCAAAATAACTATGAATAACAATAATTACGGGGCTGATTCATTCAATTAACAATTTATTCAAGAAATAAATTGTAAGTTAACAGTATAGACCAACTCATTGGTAGATCTACATGGAGGGAGGTTTTCGTGCTGAAGCCCCCTCCTTAAATAATAGAAAAATAATTTTTTATTTTATTGGTCCGTATTTGTTTAAGTGAGGATCTAAGCTAAATACTTACAATACATCTTTTTAAAATATAAAGTATATATGTTTGAGCACCTGTCAATAAAAAAATTATCCCCAAAAGCATATGTATTTTTTTTTTCAAGTACACCAAGACCTCGAACATCATTTTATATAATTTTTTCCTGTGTAACTACCATTATAAAAAAAAATTAAATACTGAATCCACTACTGCAACTACCTAATAAAGCAACAACAAAAATTAAGAGGTATACATAGTAAGAAACAACATACCAATTAATAATTATGAAATTTTTTAATAGGGAAGTTCCTTATTAAAATTCCTCCTAAGGAATCAATAAGAATTTTTCCCATTTTTATTTCATAGTCGTATAACTTCAAATAGTTGAAACCATTTTTAAAAAAATATTAAATAGGGGTAACTATTTTAAATAGTTTTCACTGTTTGAAGTTATTTTATGTACCATCTTTATCCTTAATATACACATGATCAATCATTATAAAAAAAAAGTTTAATAATGAAGTCATCAACATACCATGACTACAAGCTGAATGTGAGTACCGTTTAGTAATAATCTGCTGCTTAGGGTTTTCATAGTTATTTTCCCACTGAATGTTAAAATTACTAATGGCACGATGAAATTCTATTTTTCTGTGGCGTATAACACCTGAATCACAAAATCAATTCAGTTTTTTTTTCTAATTATTTTTCAAATAAAATAGTAAATTAATCTCACTTTGAACGTTTTTGTACCATCTCTTGCAAACAACCATACAATTTTCCAAATCTTGGTATGGTGGTAAGAGGCTGATGATATATTCTAATAGTTCGTTTGGAAGGTCATTAATACCAGCAGTTAATTTTTCTTCACAACTAGGAGAACTTGTTGACATCTTTTAAACATTAGAAATGGTCTAAAGGTTTTTTTTTTTTTTTTAATCTTAGATCATACTGAGGTACTCAAGTCTTTGGGAGTTATTCTCAGGTTATAGTTATAACCTATTATCTTTATACCTTAAAGTCTGCATATGCCTTTTAAATAAAATGTCCACTAAAGTAATTCTGTCAGACATAATTTTTTATTCTTCAAGAGTAACAATCACACTCAACTAAACAACAAGGCTGTCCGTAAGATCATTGTGATGGAGGTTTTATTAGGGTGAGGTTATCACTTACGTCACATGGGATGGGGAATTTTGAATTGCAGCTTTTGATGTGTTTTGTATTAAACTAAATTATCAATTATTTATGAAGCATACTTCCTGAGTTACGTGGTGAAAGATAATATAATAAGCAAATGTTGTGATTTAAATTAAAAAATGTCTAAGTTGACTCAAGTAAAAGATATTTTTTTCTTAAGAACATTAAGTGCTATTGGACAAATAAACTTAAGTAGAGCACAAAAGGTATTATACTTTTCGCTTTTGTAAATTATTTGTAATGTAAATAAGTGCTCCTTTATTAGTGTTTTTGTTTAGGGATTAGTTTTCCTATTCTTTTTGATTATTATAATAAAATTCAGGTTCTCATCATATCTGTATGTGCAAGTGCTACTCTATTAGGAGTTGTAGCTCACTATATGAAACGCCGAAAATCTACAACTCTATTTCTTCGCCCTAAGAAGAGCATTAAGTCTATTCAACCTGCTGTTTCTCCGACACTTCATAGCCCTGATGAAGGTAAACATGAAGTGAATTTGTATATAATAATCTGACCTTATTATTTTATCTTAATTTTGCTTAGATTTTCCATTTTAGGTAGGTATGTATTTATTTTAAAATTCTAGACTTATTTCCTCTCACATTAATCGAGAGTCATTAATCATATTACATATTCTTACAATTTAAAACATATTAGCATATGTTTTATTTAAAAAAATATAGATAATTAGTATTATACTGAATTTAAAAAAAAAATACAAAAAAAAACATTGAATCCTGTTTATAGTTTTAATTTCCTTTTGGTTGTATTTTTATCACTGGTGAAGTGTGTTGTGTGTGTTCTCATTTGTTTATATTATGGAGTGAAATTTTGATGCATGTATTATGAAGGGTTCTTATCTTCATATGACTAGCTTGCAAGAACACTGTCACAACTCAAAACTCCACTTATAATAGAGTGGTATCTTTGTGAATATATGTTCATATATATATATTTCTGTATTTCTATGTTGAAAGAAAACCAGAACAACCCATAATTAATTATTTTTTACTTTTAAAATTGATCAAAATCAAAGGCTATTATGGTAACAAAAAATTTGAAAATGTTTTAATATTTGCGTTGTTCTGTTATTCCTTAGAGCTAGAGATATAATCTTTTAAGCTACAATTTGTAGCTGCCGTTAAAGAATTGTTAATTTATTATATTTCTTTATGTTATGGAAGTTCGAAAGTTTTAATTGCTAAAATATTTGTATACCTTATTACTGTTATTTTAAAAAATATTACTTTACTTCATTCAGGATTTTGTAGGCATTATAAGATGAAGTATTTTATTGTTCATGGATATGGCTGATATAAGAATGAAGTGTATTTAAAATCACTGTCAGCAATTTTTAGTAGTGTGCACTAGTGAATCCAGGATATAATTTTGCGGGGCTTCAGCCCGAAAGCTTTTTTTTAAATTTATATAATTATTTTGGAAAAAAAGAAAGATATTAACTACCTACATGAAATGGTGTTTAAGTGATTCTTGAAGTCCTTTCAAATGTAATTACACGTACAATAATGCTTTAATAGACATTTTTAAATATTTTTTCCATTAAACATGGTTACATTTTACCATTTTGGAGAGGACTTCAGCCTCAAAGCTCCCTCCTCCCCCTCCGTAGATCCGCCTGTGGTAGTGTGATAAAAATCCTGTTACTTTATATTTTCCTATTTTTGAATCAGAAGTAGTGCTGGTTTGTGATCTGTGGGTGCTTTCTTTTATTTTGTAGTAGACCCAAATTATAAATTTCGAACTTCACTATAGCTAAAATAGAGTGTTAATCTTTAGAGTAACCTATTTTTGTTTTAGGTGTATTACATATTTAACTGTAGTTTGAACGAGATTAGGTTGTATTCCAAGAGAGAACTCATGCGACACTAAGTTGAAACTAACATTCTGTGTGTTCTCTAACCCTCTGATGGTACTTATAAAATATTTACTTACATATACATTAATTAAAAGATTAGGATGTCATCTTTGAATATATATTTTACTTTCATGAAAATTTTTGAGTCTGAGTTGTCAACTGAAATAAATATTTTGAGGTACCCTGAGTCCAAATAAATAAAGTCCAGAAAAATGGTCTGTGTGTATGTGAACACTATATTTCAAAAACGAAAAGTCGTACAAAACTGATATTATGTATTTAAGATAGGTATATTCCTTGGATGTCCTAGTAACTTTTTCCTTAAAATCTGTTAACGGGAAGTGCCATTTTATATTAACGCTGAAAATATTTTTTACGATTTTCTCAAAAACAGCTCTAACGATTTTGATTAAACTCGGTTTATCTTTGTATAATTAAGTGGTCTTTAATATCATTTAGGTCTTATCCCCGTTGATGTCACTTTAAAGGGCTTAAATGCCCAATGTTCATATGCGTCTTCCTCTAAAGTATCTTTAATATGGTTCATTTCAAATAATTTACTATCTCTTATTATTAAAAGTTAAGAAAAAATGCTAAATATAACTTTTGAAAGAATTTGATTATTGAATAAAGGAGAAAAAATAAAAATGCTTATCCAGGTCGAAAATGAATCTCCGGAAATACTAGTCAGAAGCACAGGCGGATCTACGGGTGGGCTTTCGGGCTTAAATACATTTACTGTAGTTTAGTGATTACAGATCTCATATTATATTTAAATAATTATCAACGTTTATTCCGAAAAATTGACATGTAACTTCTTAGAAAATTAAGTTAGTGAATAATTTGATGAATTTTCCCTTTGTGAAATCCCAACATTATCATTTCTTCCTCTAAAGTACCTTTAATTTGGTTCATTATATATAAATAATAACTATTTATCATTGTTAGGAGTTATGGAAAATGCTAAATATAACTTTAGGAAGAATTTGATAATTAAATAAAGGATAAAAAAAGATAAGTACTTATCCAGGTTGAAAGTGAAAATTTGGAAATAATAGTCAGAAGGTATAGTATAATATATCGTTGGAAAGTGAAGAATTGTAAAAAAAACAATATATAATAGAGTAAGTTGTTGAAGGTAACGGAGAGTGACGAAAAAAACATAAATAATAATTTCTAAAAACTAACATTATTTTACGTAAATCGGTTGTTTTCAAGGAAATTAAATGAAATTTTCTTACTAAATGTAAACTTTTAATTTGTTTTTTAAGTTTGAAAAAGTATTTAAAACCCACGGATTCAAAGCAATGACATTGTTTAAGATACTATTTCATTCTATTTGTGTGGAAGAAGAAATGAAACATAAAAATATTTCATGGATACGTTTATAATCTTAAATATATTTACTGTACTTTAATAACTCTAGATCTGATATTATATTTAAATAATTAGATACCTATCGTTTGTTTATTCCGAAAAATCATTATGTAACCTTTTAGAAAATTAAATTAATGAATAATTTGATAAATTTTCCCTTTGCGATATTTCAACAGAATCCCCTTACAATCAGTGTAACAACTTTTGACCGGTCTATGACAGACAGTGCAAATCTCTTAATTCCGTTTTAGTAAACTTTGCAATGAAAAATAATAGTTTAATAACTAATAGCCGTACAATCCATAATCAATGGATCGTACAATCTATAATCAAAGAATCATACAATCCATAATCAACCAGTGATATAATAAATAGAACCATAATTGGTAATTGGTTGACTGTCGTGGATAATGAAGAGAAGAATAGTTGGGGTGCTCAGTCAAAAAGGAAGGCAAAAAATAAATTATAATATTTATTTTTTACATATGCTGACGTTTCGACCTGAAGTTCAGGCCTTCATCAGGGCTAAGAAAATAACCAGATAACAAGGTATGAGAAACATAAGTAATGATGGTAAAAAAGATAATAAAAAATGAGAAAATAAAATAAATAAAAAAATTATTAGAAAAATAAAATAGATGGATATAAAGAAATTGTTAGAATAATGACTAAGAGCTAAGAGATAAATAATAAAAACTGTTACATAGTGTGGAATGATGAAGTAGGCATAATCAAAAAGGGGTGACAAAAGTGTTACATTGGGAATCTTAGAATAAAATGTAAAAACATAAAAAAGAAATATAAAGTTATATAAGAAATGAAAATAAAATAAATAGTAAAATTAAAACATTGAGAATGGAGTAGTTAGATAGAAAATTGAGATATTGTAAAGTCTATCAAGATGTACAGACAATGTATAATATAATAAAGAGTTAAAAACAGAGAAAAGGAATGAAATTTTCTTAGCCCTGATGAAGGCCTGAACTACAGGTCGAAACGTCGGCATATGTAAAAAATAAATATTATAATTTATTTTTGCCTTCCTTTTGACTGAGCACCCCAACTATTGTTCTCTTCATTAATAAATAGAACTTTTGTTATTTTAATAGTATTTGTGATTTGTTAGCTGCAATCTTTTAGCTTTAGCTTATTTAAAGATACAATTCAAACATTTTATAATAGCCCAACATGGCCAGAAAATAATTTTTCTATTCAAAGATGATCAGTAAGTGAAAGTAGTGTGTTGCGCGCACCAGATTTTTTCTAGTAATATTGAAGATTTAGGTAAAAAATAAAATATAAGTTTCAACTTATTGCAACACAAAATCGCCCTTAGGGTACCAACTAATCGTAATTGAACTTTAAATACATTAATAATATTTTTTTTGTAGGACAACTCGCTTTAGTAATGCTTAATACCAGTACTAAAATCAGTTAGAATTATAAAAATATTAAAATCTTTAATCATATTTTAATAGAAATAAATTCTTCTATGACTTAATTTTAACTTAGATGATGTAATAATTATTATGTTTTAAAAAGCATATGAGTAGTGTAGATGAAGTTTTTGTACTTTATGATGCTTTCCAAAGTATGTTAATTAGACTAATTAAAATGAGATTTTGGAAAACATACGTAGTGAATATTCTACATTTGATCTGTAGTCCTTTTTGTAAATCAGAAGTATTTATAATAGAATGGCCCAGCATTTATTAGATAGTCATTGCTATTAATTCTAGAAGCAATTAAAACAGCTATAATTGGTATGGTGCAAATATAATGACATTTAAAACTGTTGTTTCAGTTATTCACCAAATAAGTCATTCCTACATTAGCATGATGTACTGGTAAAGTAGTTTTTATTTGTTGCTACTTTTATCTTCTACATGTTCAATTTAGAGAAAAAAATGTGGAATGGTAAAAATTTTGAAAAATCAATGTACATAAACAGGTAAACTTAGTTAAGTTTCATAAGAAACAGATTAAGATGGTCCATTCCTTCAGAAAAATGTCAGCAAAGAAATACAATTGATTGACAACCTGATTATGCTAAATGAACGTTTTCTTTAATTTTCAGTGGCCATCTATAGGTAGGGCCGGCCTTAGACATTTGGCACCACCAGATGATGACATCTTCAAAAAAATAATTTAGTTCTTTAACTGTTTTATATCAGTTATATTTGAATTTTATTAAAAGTTTATATTATTTTTCTAATATTGTAACCA